CAGCTTGATGGACCTTTTTATGCTTGAACGTAGTACTGCATACTACCATGTTTCGGGCCCCGGCGAAGTCGATCAGCCTCAGTCCGTTGTCGGATGATTCGTCGTGGAGGTTGAATATTCCGACGGGGGTCCAAAGATCCCTTCCTTGCCCACCCTGGCATTGAAGTCCCCAAGCACGATTTTGATATCATGACGGGGGCAGCGCTCGTACGTGCGCTCCAAGCGCTCATAGAAGAGATCCTTCCGTCGGGCATGGGCGCAGACGGGCGAGATGTTAAAGAATCTCGCTTTGATGCGGATTATGGCTAGACGCTCGTCCACCGGGGTGAACGACAGTACTCGGCGACGGAGTCTCTCTCCCACCACAAATCCAACACCGAATTTGCGCTCCTTTACATGGCAGCTGTAATAGACGTCGCAAGGCCCCAGAAATTGTTTGCCTTGCCCCGTCCAACGCATTTCTTGGATGGCGGTGATGTCAGCTTTTGTCGTTACGAGGACATCAACCAGCCGGGCAGAGGCACCATCCCCATTAAGGGTACGGAAATTCCAGGTGCATGCCCTCAAATCGTAGTCCTTTAAACGTTTGCCGTGGATCATAAGGGGGGGTCTCATCCGAGGCTTTGCCTTGCTTCTTCACTGGAAGTGGTTTTTACGTGGCGGGTCCCAAGCCCAGCGCACAACCCTCTGCTGGGACGGGGGTGGTTTCGCAACCAAATACACGTTTATATAGCGAACAGCTTGCTCCAAGCAGACACCCGCTTGCAGCCGCACCTACTGGTGAACAGACGCTGCAGACTTCAGTGAGCCCTTAAACCGAATAAGTCGGAGTGGCCCCACCGAATTTCCCTCTCTTTCTGCCGTGACCCAAGGCTCCACTCGGATTGGTTACCGCATCTCGCACATGGGTTGCGTGAGTGTGCGAACGAGGACGCAAGAGTCGGGATTGGGTATAGCCATGCAACTGTAACTGCATACCCAGCGCAACGACTTACCCCATTGCACACCTTATTTTAAAAACAGAATTATAGTAATCGGTTAAAGTGGATCAAAGGCATGCGGTAGCATACATAAAAAAAACAATTGTTTATATTCAACAATTTTTATTGAGCTTGAGGCCGTTTTTAAT